ATGCTTTTACTGTTTCCAAAACCTCTCCCGATAGACAATTAATAGTTAAATAAATATCTGGGATATTGGGATCATTATGAATCAAACTCTCAAAAAACTTCGCTAACTAGCCTCGGTGATGCCTTAGTTATGGGTATAGACTAAGAATCGTACCTACTCCTTAAGTTTAAAAGTGTAAGGGACCACTTGCTATTATCTACCGTATAGTTCAGGGTCGGTCAACGCTTGGTGGCGACAACACCTCTTTCGGAGAATTGCTATCCTGAAGTTGCCAACTCAGGAAAGACGAGTGCGAGGAAGCAGGAACACACAGCACCGTCGAATAGTGCGTGTATGTACGAATGCGTAGTCTTCCTTCAAACAAGAAGCACATAGGGTCATTATACTCAGACCGTCGCCGAAATAGAAGTTGGGTCAATACTGACTATTTTACGGCAGGACAGATTCCTGAAAACTTCAGCCGCAAAAATCTGCCATCAAACCTGATTGACAAAGTAGAAAAAGTAAACTTTGGCGCTATCTTAATCTAGGAACCCACTACTTTTGAAAGCTGGATTACTGGACTAAGCTCTATCCACCTAAATATATTTTATGCCAACGATAGGACCAGGAAACGAAACTGCATGCTATGAAAAAACAAAACAGCTTTTTTCCTTATCATCGACACATTAAGCACAGCCGTGAAGATGGCCAAAACTCACTTCTTAGCACACATGCCGACACAGGTATTACAGTGGTGAAGACGGCCAACAACTTACTGCGTACATTAGCCCTACACACTTCCTTAGGCTAACAATTTGCAGTCCCCGAGGATTTGCTGGGATCATGAAATACTCAGAAAGGACAGTTATGCATGTTATTTTTGGGATAGATGCTAATTCCCATCACACAGTTAGAGATAGCTCGGACTGTAATGCTAAACGCTTACATTAACTTTAAGAACGTTTTAATSTTAAACATATGTATGTAACTCACCCACCTTTATAATTAGGCGTAGAAAGGAAGTCTAAGACAAAACTATATGCATAAGAAGTACGTTGGATATAGTTCCCTTGAGAGCCATCCTTTCACGACCACAGGTATCTTAACTTCGGCGGCCTAGAGCCGATGTGTAGAAATAGGTCCAAAAAAACTGAGACACATACTAGTGTGATAAACTGGAAGGTGAATTTTTAATTTGTACTTTGCGTGTTTTTCGAATCTGTAAATATAAATATAAATTTATTGCACCATCTCATAATGCATTGTTTATTCGTGATCAATTCGCCAAATTTCTACTAACATCGTGCTACAACACCGCATTCGCCTGATTTACCTTGGTGTAACTTCTGGCTATTCACCAAATTCACATGACCACTCCGAGGACACTGTTTTGACTCAGTTAAGGATATAAAAGGATTTTTCCAAGTGTTATGATGAGTAGAAAATTCATTGGCATAGGTGTATTGCAACGGGAGGGGATTAATTAAATTATACAAAATTCGCCATTCAATTTGATTCTCGAACTGGACCGCTCTATGGCTACACTCTCAGTACCTTAGCCGATAAGTTCCGTGTCAGATATAGATTTAACAGTAGAAAAAGTCACATAATACATCATTGCTGCTTTTGAAACAGCATGCCGCTAAGAAGCCTTATTTCTACCGCAAACAAACCATGGGGAATCTTCGACGGAACCCTTACAAGGCCTTTAATAAGACTAAGCAACACAATAGAGCTGAATGTTTGAATGCATATCAGAATTCATTGCGTGAATATAAACGAAAACTCTGAATAGCAACCTATAGCGTGGTCAAGTAGACAAACTATGTGGATAGCAAAAACCGTAAATTTTTATTAAAAGACCATATTAATACATACTCATTTAAAAAAGTCATTTATAATTCCTTTACATAGGAATGGATTTAGGTCATCTATTGAAAACTATAGGGGAATAGCAAAGTTGTCWGTAATACCTAAGCTAAGCACTTATAACAAATGACATAACCTTCCGGACCTCTCCACTAATTTCTTGTCCTCAGCACGGTTTTCAAGGTAAATCTACAATAACCAATTTGCTTGAATTTGTATCACATGTATCAACGGCCTTTAGAGAGAATTTAGAAGAGAACTTGATCTTCTTGGTTTTCTACCAATATTTCTTAAATGGCTTGCTTCTTATCTTACTAATAGAATTCAAGAAGTCATATTTGATGATACTTTTCCCGACATAATCAATGTTCCTTCAGATGTTCCTCAAGGTAGCCATCTTGGTCCAATTCTGTTCTTGTTATTTATTAATGACATATCATCTGTTGTTAAGTATTCAAGAGTTTTATTATATGCTGACGATGTAAAACTTTTTAAAACATATACTTCAAACAGCGAAAGATGTCAATTGCAAACAGACTTAAACAACCCAGTTTCTTGGTGTAATAGAAATGACATGCCGTTGAACCTTAAAAAATGTAAACGATGTGCTTTTCATGTAGATCTATAGACCCTACTTCTTACATAATACAAAACTTTAGGTTGGAGCAGGCATGCAGTTTTGTTGATCTGGGGATAACTATGGACCCCAAACTCAATTTTAATCTTCACGCATCTTCCACGGTTTTTAAAGCTAAAGCCGCTCTTAGTTTTGCTAAAAGCTGGTCTAAAGAATTTAGAGATCCGCTTACCACAAAAATTATTTTTACTTCTCTGGTGAGGCCTATATTAGAGTATTCTTCTTCGGTTTGAAACCCAAGTTACCAATTCCATTATTATAAGTTAGAGTCTGTTTAAAAACAATTTTTACTTTTTGCTTTAAATCATTTGCATTGGGATTCCAATTTAAACCTTCCACCTTACACTAAYCGTTTAAAACTTATAAATCTCCCGACATTTCTTGTAAAACTCGTGAATGGGTCAGTCTGTAGCCCATCTCTCTTATCTGATATTAATTTTAACATTCCCGCTCACTCTACCAGCCAGTTGAGATCCTTATTTTTAAAATTTTCTAGAACAAAGTTTGAGTTAAACGAACCATCCCGCCGTATATGTCATGATTTCAATTCTCATTGCAGCACAGTTTACTATTAAAAAAATATTTTATCTATTCTTAACAAGTAACATTTAAAAATAATAAACTTTAATCTAATTCTTAATTTGGCTGTTGAAATTACTACTTGCCAAAATCATACCGAGCGATTAAGGCCAAGGAAAGGATCATTCGACGAGCTCATCAAGAAAAAAATCCTACTTAACCGTTTGCTATGCATGAAGTAGTTGTAATAGAATCCGACAAAGGCCCTCCACTAGCTGAGAGCGCTGCTGACATATATAGGGGCATATTTTAGATTGTTGTGCCCAYGTGTTTAGGAAATCTCTGACATTATAATCGACATTTATATAGCGGCTACGCTGGCTTTGTCATGTTGTTCGAATGGACGAAAGCAATCCAGCTCTGAAAGTATTCGACGCTGTATCCGCCGGGGGAAGCAGAGGAAGAGGAAGACCTCCACTCCGTTGGAAGGACCAGGTGGAAAAAGACCTGGCTACGCTTGGAATATCCAATTGGCGCCACGTAGCGAAAAGAAGAAACGACTGGCGCGCTGTTAACTCGGCTATAATCGCGTAAGCGGTGTCTACGCCAATTAAGAAGAAGAAGAGGAACCTTATGCAAGAGGAAATTGATCTTGCGTATTAAATGGATATAGAGGGTAATATTAACTTATTCAACATCAAAAGCGAGAGATAGTCTCCGAAGTATAATACGAACCACTAATAGCCTAATTGAACGCCTTATATAGTAGCTGAAAAATAAAGCCTGCGCCGAGAATGACATAGTAATAAATCAGCATCATCTAAATTGAAATTAAAAGTTTTAAAAATATTTCGGAAAGCTTTAAGGAGAAGAAGAAGCACACTTTAATAGGTTTATCACCTGATAATAGAGCTACCTCATACAAATAATTATATGTGCATAACTTTTTTTTTTTGCATATATGAAAAATTATCCCGTTTCTGAAATCAAGCAATTCTTTGGAAATATGTTGTTGTTATGAATTGACCACAATTGTTGCTTTCTGGTCTCATTCGTTGTACCGTTACTTCAAAATGTTCGGGAATTTTCGGTGTTACGTAGTAAACYGCACATTAGTGCGAAATGATCGTTTCTGCTGATAATAGTGTTTTCAGAAGTTAAGCTGCAAAAATTAGTTTGAGATATTTATTGTAAGTATGTAATTGTCCAAAATATTTTAATATTGGTTAGCTAAAATGCCTCGTGGAACTAGTTTAACAGACCAATAACAAGGGGTCATAAAAGGTATGCATGATAGCGGTGCAAATATCAACGAAATCGTAAAAAAAATTAAATCGGCACCGAAATTGCATATCTAGTTATTTAAAAAATCCAACTAAATATGGAACAATTCGACGAAGTGGGCGGAAAACCAACATCGATTTGCGTTGCAAGTGGCAAATTCAACGACTTGCTGTGGTTGATTTGATGAGTAGCGGACAAATTAAAGCTCATATGGGTCTCCAAATAACCAACAGTCGCATTGTGCAAATAATTCAAGAAAATCCTTTAGTGAAATATACCTCCATGGTGCCTAAACCCAAGCTTTTGCAGCGACACATGAAGGCTCGAATGGAGTTTGCAAATAAGTACCGTTTTTGGTGCGAAGAATGGCATAACGTCATTTTTAGTGATGAAAAGAAGTTCAATTTAGATGGCCCTGATAGTTGCAAAAGATATTGGAGAGATATGCGCCAAGGTCGGAGATCCTGTTTTAAGCGAGGGTTTGGCGGTGGCAGTGTGATGGTATGGGCTGCGTTCTGCTATAGGGAAAAGTCATCTATGTGCTACATCTCTACAAGAATGAATGCTCAAATGTATGTAGATCTCCTTGACAGTGAATTAATAGAGTTTGGTGGCAATTTGTATGGCGACGATTGGACTTTTCAACACGACAATGCATCAATACACGCAGCTCAGGTCACCAAATCCTTCTTTACACAGCGAAAAATACCTGTATTGGACTGGCCCACCTTAAGTCCGGACTTAAATACGATTGAGAATCTGTGGGGTATCCTCTCTGCCAGAGTGTTCAAGAACGGTAGACAGTTTGACACAGCAAGAAACCTTAAAAAGGCAATAGACCACGAATGGGCCAATATTGATCCAGCTCACCTTAAATCTTTGGTGGAATCCATGCCGTTCCGACTTAATTCAGTAATATTTCATAATGGTAACAATACTGAATATTAAAATCCTATATAAATAATAATTAATAATATTAAAAATTAGAAAAATCAAATATGCACATACAAATATTTAGTACGAAGACTATTTTTGATGTAAGTTCCTTATTACATATTATTGAAATTTGTGACAACTTTATGTTTTTATTTCGTAAACTTTATTTGCAAATAAAACTGCCTACCCAAAATTTCGATATCAGCTTTTGTACTTTTTTAATCAATAAAAAACATGATGCACATATAATTATTTGTATGAGGTACCAAATATTGCTTTTAATTTGTTGTCTCAACTTGTCAATGTCAGTCGAAGATTATATTGATAGACAAATCGGAAAATGACGCCAGCCTGCCGTCATCATATCGACCAATTAGCGTGTTATCCGTTCCCTGTGAGGTTTTTGGAAAAGTATTGCTATCCATAATACATATCTCTTTATCTCCACGAGCACGAATCAATTTTAAATCATCAATTCGGTTATTGTACATATCGCATCGCATAACCAATCGGATTTGGAGAGCATTTGAGTTGAAAGAGTACTGCTGTATATCATGATTCACTCATGCACAAAATTAAAATGACTTTGCCAAAAAACTTTCATCAGTACCAAAACTATATGTCTTATTTCCCGCAGATATTCCCATGAGTGCAAAAGTACTAACCTCAAGCAAATATCCAGTGAAAACCACAAACATACTATGAAATCATCTAAAGCATCAGGAAGGATCTGTCGGAATTTTGATGAGCAACTTTTATCGTCTATTGCTCAATATCTTTGGAATCTTATGAATAACCAAATTGAGGCTGAATATATTCCGCGTTCTGTCGCATACTTTTCAGTTTTTTTTAGGGTGAAGAACACCTGAAAATGTTTAATTGCTTAACCAAAAATATGTAAAATATTATTATTTCACAAAATTTGATCGATTTATTGTAGTTTATGAGAAAATAATTTTACAATTGTATAGTCCTCTGAATTTCAATCTTCAATAACATTAACAAAAACAAGAATTTTTACGAAATATTTATATGACTTGGTATGAGTCTGGTCACCTTCCTGGTGGACTGCTAATTTTCAAAATCGGAGATTTTTCGAAATTTTGATGGACCAGTTGACGTCGTTTGACGCTATTAATTTTACGTCAGTTGAGGTACACTTTTTAATTTAAAGCCAGGCACAAAGCGCACTCGCGCACTATGAATAGTTCTCTGCTTTTTTGAGATGTGGAGAATAATAGGATCTGCGATTTATTTAATTAAAAATAAACGTACCTTCACGATTACGGTTTTAGTAAAATTTAATTTTTGATTTTACTTAGCTAAACCTTAATCTATCTGCTAAACCAATGGTAAGTACATATTTCAGCAATCTCATTAATTTATTGTAATTATGGTATTACATTGTGTCAGATAGAATGTATTGCATTATAAAAAGGGTAAGTGTTTTACATGGTGTATTGTATAGTTTTCAGTTTATTTCAATATTATTAAATTAATTTTTCTTACATATTTTTAAAATATATTTTATTGTTTTGAAAAGTTTTCAAAAGTCGCTTGTTGCAGCAATAGTGTTGCTTAATTATTGAGAGAGTTGCATCACTTAATCAATACTTCGAAATTTTAACCTATAGAAGGAACAAAAATTATACTTAGGCTGTTCACGGTAAGGTGCCTATCGGGTTATGTGGTTATTAGATTAAAAATAACTTCATTGTTTACAGTTTAAGTTCAATGAAATTCCTACTTATAAAATGCCTTAACAAAGCTTACTGAGCAACATAATTGAATTTAAAATAAGTTCTGCTATTCAGGAAATGGACTTTATTGAAGTTATTTGCTTATTAAATAATCCCAATTTTAAGGGTTCAAAACGTTCTTTGTATAAAATTTGCAGACATCTTGCACCCTGAGCAGTGTCACAATGCAATTGTAAACAAAAAACAGCTGTTAACAGTACAATTTAAAATAAGAAAATCTAAATGGAAATGCAATTCGCTTAGTTCTATTTATTTTTTGTGCTGCCATTTAGTAAAATTCCAACGACTTTCTAACACTGGAAATAAGCAAACAACCACATAATCTGTAAACAAGGKCCTAGGTCATAACGCAATTTGTTGTTGTTTACTTAATCACCTAACCACATAACCCGATAACCACTTTATCGTGAACAGCCTAAGTGCTTTCATAGTTCGTATGAAAAATGTTAGGAAGGTTTTATAATATATAACTTTAAGCTTATTCTAGATTTTTATTACTGCACAATTGTTTGCATATTACCTTATTTGTGTAAAAAAATATCAAATATGTTTTTTTTTTATTTTTTAAGAATAACAAATGACGCTCGCGAAGATGAGATGGAAGAAAATGTAGGTCAAGTGAACACCATGATCGGAAATTTGCGGAATATGGCATTAGATATGGGTTCCGAGCTCGAAAACCAAAACAGACAAATCGATCGAATAAATCGAAAGGTATTTAAACTCTAACGCTTCGTAATATTACGGATATTTTAACTTTTATTACAGATATCTTAATTAATTAGTTGGTAAAAAATAACTTTTAATTGCCCATTTATTTTTAAAATATGGATTGAGTAATATTATTCGGACACTTTGTATATTATTGTGCACACATTTCACAATATATGACAGTTTTCTTCGTAACTTTTTTCTTTATAAACTTTAGACGCGTTTTTGTCAAAACTACTTTTTCAACGTCTGTGTTCGCTGTCATTTCAAAACTACTTGAACCATTCATTTCAAACTTTGTAGACATTTTTGACATATGAAATACCTCCCCCTTAGTTTAGTAAGAGTGTTTTCCACAAAAATGACGGAATTTTTTAGTGGAAAATAACAGTTTTCACTTTAAATGTGCTCTAAAAATTTTAAATTTAAAATAAAAGTGTCAGAAAACGACGGGGGAAAGATTTGATTATAACTTGACAAATTTTTCTGGTTTTTTATTTTCGGATAATTTCCATCCGATTTATGGTGAAAACCGCAAAGAGTTTTTCTTTTCTCAAGASCTTCTGGGTGAAGCTCTGCTACCGGCTTATGCTTCAATATTTTTGCATGAAAAGAGTATCCTTTATTGTCATGAGTGTGCGTAATAAAGTACAAAAAGTCGGAATAAAATCCATATTTGAGACATTATTTTTTTACCTTTTACATAACCTTTTAAACAATATGGTTCTGTATTTGCGGCATAATCTTCCTCTTAACCGCGACCCATTTGTTATTGTGTAAATACAACAAATTTATTAAAAACTTCGAATATCATTTAAAGTTATTTGTGCTCTATTTAATATTAGAAAAATTAATAATATAAATAATTTTCATTACAAATTTTCATTACACATTCATTCATTTTTCCTTTTATTTCAATTCTATAATACTTTTCCTCTCGTGATAAAAATTTATAAGGTCCTTCGTATGGTTTTGAAAGTGATGGGCGCACTGAATCATTTCTGATGAAAACGTTTTCACATGTTGCAAGATCAGGATGTACAAATTCTTTTTTTGGACCGTGCCATGACGTAGTGGATGGTCTGATGGTGTTCATTAAGTCTCGGAGTTGAGTAACGAATTCTGACTGTGTTTTAATTCGGCT